TACCTAAACACCATGACCTTCTCTCGCGGTTCCATCTTCAAGCCATACGTGAAACTTTACTCAATGAGAAGGCGCATATGCAAAACAGAATCACCAATGCATTATCCTCTCGATCAGTATCCGAGCTCGAGGAATGATCTCAAGGGAACAGTTCTGCTGCATGTCCAAGAATCGGAAAGACCAATCCGGCTCGCCATCCATCAACGCTCCCTTGCACCAGAATTCGACTTCGCAAGAAGCCCCTGAAACCCCCACTGAAGGGCCTTCATCGCGCGGCTTAGTTTAGTCATCTCTTAACTTTGTCATCCACAGTATCAAGCTCACAATCTACAATGATTGGTGGGTTCCGTTGTGTGTGACGGGCCCTCGTGCTCGGTGTTAAGTCGGATATTTATCAGGCAATAAGCATCAAATAAATGTGCCTCTGACTTTGCCTCGACAAGACGCACCATGATGTGTATATCTCTCCCTTCCCTTTCTGGACCAATTCCGCCTATGCTCTCATAAGACTTTGTTCCGGTCTCAGTGGTCACCGTTGTCAAAGGAGGAAGTCGTCAAGCTGCATTTTTCTGCTCGGAAACGACGAATGCGCGCCGCATGTCCTTACGAAAACTACAAGACCCTCTGTGCAATCATGTCGAAGATGTGATGCGTGTCCTCAGCGTCTGTGTCGCAGCTGCCCACACTTCAATCATATAGGGCTGCATGCGGTGCAACAGGCGGTCGGGAGTCGAAAACTCGCGACTCGGCCATGCATATTGTCTGGCCGTCACCAGGTCCGAAGGCCCGTTGTCAAGTGCCTCATATAATAGTGATAAGAAACCGTGGTCATCGGAGGCGTGAAGCGGAAGACCTTGGCCTCTCCACGATGCGGAGAATGTCGAGCTATCTGCAGGTCGACTCGTCTGCATGTGATTCAGCGTCTGATTTGGCCGCGTATCGCAGTGTTTCAGCGTCGAATGAGATCATGTGTTCATTGTCGGAACAAGTACGCGCCCCGAATCAATGTTTTGTGGTCATGTTGAGTTTCCACGGCTGAACGAACAGTCGTGACCCGTCGAGCGATGCTGAGCGATTCCTCTCTCGTTTGTCAATAGAGGATAAGGCTATATCTCGGTGACCTGTCCGAAATTTCATCGACGTTATCACGCCCAAGTCTCCATGGAGCCCCCAAAACACGAAACCTCAACCCCTTTCCCGAGAACTGCGGACATGGGATTCGCAGCTCAGAGCGACCACCGGGGATGTGACTCTGAATAACAGCGACTTCGAGATGGATCGCTCTCGTGGTTGGATAGTGATCTAGAGAGAACATATCTCGTGGCGAAACATTGTTACATATAGCGCATTCCGATTTCGTTGAGGTCCAGATTTAGTCCTTCTTCGTCGAAGCTCAACGAGGACTCCATGAATCGATTTCAAACTTCCATTATAACTTCAATTTATTACTTCTGTTCAGCCTCCACCGGGGCAGCAGCGAGGGATGCGGGAATTCTGTATTCGTTCCTTTGAACTCATTTTTCATATCCTCCGTCGGTAACATTCGGATCGTGGGCTCGTTCTGAAAATTCCTCGCGAAGCTATGAGCTGCCGTTCTGCTCACCTTGGCAGCAGGGAACCTCTGGTTCGGACTTGGGATCCTTGAAACCGATGCCTACGAAGTGCGTGTGGGGATTCGCCGCAGCGTTCGCAAGGGGCTTGCCGTTGCCGGTGTCGCTCGGATCAGCGTTCTGGTACGAGATTACGGGATCCACGGTAGAGTCCCCCGCCAAGCTGAAGACTCTGAAGTAGTCATTGAATTTTTTCTTGTCATCAGCGGGATCCCGCGTGGCGTCGAGCTTGCGAGCGTTTTCCGGGCTCGCAAGAGCGCCGTCGTAGGTCCGAGGTTTGTTCATGTTGGCGTTGGCACGACTCCATGCTTCAGCTTCGGCGTGAGAGTGAGTGTTCGATGGCACGGGATGGAGGAGCATTCCGTTGGGCAAAAAGACCAAACCTTGAGGATTCACCGTCCCGCCATTAGTCTTACTCCAAGCGCTGGCGTCGCTCCATGCGCTAGAGCCGCCCTGCCCGGCTACTTGGTTGCCATTCGGCATGTTGTCGGTTCGAGCTTCGGGCTCCATCATGCTCGAGGTGTCGGTGTCGTGGAGACCGTCGACGTGGGCCCCTGCGTTTGTTGGGGGCTGCCGATCGCCATAGGCGCCGATGACGATGTAGGGTGTGTTGTTAGGAGTGTTCGACGGCTTCTTGCTCGGCTCAACCTCGGTCCAAGCTACGGCTTCGGCGTGGGTGTGCGTGTGGACGCTCGGAGGGACCGTCGGCTGAGGCTGTTGACTCGGCTCGTACGCCTCGGGGTCGTTCACATCCCAGAGGTGACTCCAAGCGTTCGCGTTAGCTTCGCTGCTCGCACCAGAAGGTTCGGCGAGGCCGGATCCCTGGTAGGTCCGAGGCGAGAGAGCCCCGATCAAGGGAGGTATGTTCCGAACATTCAGATCGTCATAGGTCTCAGAGGGACTTGCTACCTGTTGGAGTTTCGCCGTCCGGGCTGGGGTACCGGTCATCGCGAGCTGTGCGTCCGATTGTCGTTCCGGCGTCTTAGCTCCAGACCTCCTGCTCAAGCCCGAAGGGCCCGGTGCAACGGACTGTTCATCGTAGAGCGCGCAAGCTCCTCTCTCGCGTTGGGGTGCGGTCGTCTCTGATTCGTCCGGCATCTGGAGTCCTCCATCCTCTCGCGGTCGGAAGGGATTCCTATGCTTGTCGCCGATTAACTTCGACCAATAGTCTTCTGATGCATCGTTGAGATCCGGCGACTGACGGGGTCTCAAACCAGCTTGTCCTTGCTGCAAGCTGGAGAGCAATGAAGGGAGCAGTTCTCTCAGAGCACCGCCGAGATTGACGTTCTTGAGCACCTCTCTGAGAAGATCTCGGAGAACCCTGGTGTTAGCCTCGCCTGCTCCATCCAGTGAAGGGGGAACTTGCGGATAGTATTGTCCCGAACCTCTCTGCGAAGAGCCGCCTCCGATGTTGCTCGCGGCAATGAAACAGATAAGAGCGACCGAGGCTTTCATGCTGAATAATTGAGACCAGTGGAATGGTGACGAAGGACCGTGTCATCAAAGATTTTATAGCGCATAAACTCGTGATTAACAGGCCGTAAATCGACTGTAAATCCTTGTCTGCTCGGAACACCTAATTGATTTCCCCTCACTCAGAATTCTCAGAGAATTATTCGTCGAGTGCCACCTGTCGCTGGCTCCTTTGGACTCGAATGGGTGAACAAGATTCCTACATCCGATGGTGACATAAACTCCGATCTTTACAAACTTCGATGACAAAGAGATTCTCAGACCTTGCTTCTCGTTTTCAAACGTCTTCACGGAACCTCCATCGCTCATTTTGCATCTCGGGACATTGTTCCAGAAGAAATTGAGCGTAAGACCCAGCTGTGGGTGTGTGACGATTCCCGCCTAAATGAAACCCTGTGAGAGGTATGGGGACATTGTTCCAGAAGAAATTGAGCGTAAGACCCAGCTGTGGGTGTGTGACGATTCCCGCCTAAATGAAACCCTGTGAGAGGTATGGGGGCCAGGGTAACGTTGCGCAAACGGGGCGGCGGAAGTTTCTCGAAATGCGGCCTTGGAAAAAACCGGATGAGCTTGAGCTCCTGCCGAGCTGCTTCCAGAAAGATTTGCCGCTCTGACGGGTTCCAACGTTCAGGGCTCTGGTTCTCTGACGCGGTCCCCTAAGGCAAGCATATGAGAAGACGGAACTTGACCGTACGGACGTCGCGTCGGCTCAAGCAATCCGCTTGAGTGGAGCGGACGTCGTTTACCTCCTATACAAATGGATTTCCCTATCCAAGGCCATGAAAAACTCTGGGAGAATTCCTCGGCGAAACTTCTCTGAAGTAGAAAAATCTGTTCGCGAAGTCCCCCGAGAGTTGACAGCGAAGGGCAAGAGACTTCGCGGTGCCAGATCATGAATTTTGACTTTCCCCCCATCCTACGATACGGTATGCTATGATTGGAGGGAGAATGGTATATTCATGGCTTCGCGGAACGGCAAGCCATGAACAGACTTGACCGAGGGCTGCATTGGGCTCTCTAGGATTACGGTCGAGTCACACTCAGCGTGCTCAATCGTGGTCTGATAATTAGTACTTTCTTATCTGAATCCGAAGCAGTGAGAAACGGTCTGCTTGTGAGCAAATGTATAAGGCTGCGATCCAGGACGCTCTCCCTCAGCGCTCGCCATCCGCTGCTCATGAAACGGGTCAAGCCCGGTATCGTAGAAGCCAAAGTCCCGCGAATCACGTTGTATTTATGTATTCCGATGGCCGGCCCGCCCTTATAAACATCGTCGACTGATTTCGAGGTGAATCCGCCGATCGACCGAACTGAATATCAAATAACTGTTTGAAATCCGATTGGAGTGGGAATCCAGGTGCCAAGCAGCGGACTGTCGGACTTCCATCTTCCGAGAAATCTGACAGGTCTCGACTTGAATCAAGCTTACACTTGTCGAACAAGTCACGAAATAATTTCTGACGAGCTGGCCGTGTTGTATCATCCCTATCGCGAATTCTCCGAAACAGCAACGCTAATATTCGACTTGGGCCTTCCAACGTTTTGTCGCTAGCCCTCTCGGAACCTATCCATTCACGGAGAATCCTCTTGGTCCAGCACCTGCGTCGATTGAGGGAGCCTTAACGACTAATGCTCAGAATTCGGGGTTCGCGGTTCTCGGGGCTCGTTGGGAGGGGGTTCCCTCAGGGGTCGAAGCTCTGAGAGTCTCATCCACGATCGACGCAGCGTCAAGATTTTTGTACAAATAATAACTTGGATACGACATATGAGAATACATGAGCGATTCTATCAACTGCAATGTTCGATTTCTGAGTAGGAGTTCCATCGAATTTATTCGGGTAGAACATCTTAGCTTTCGCAGCGCAGGGGGGAGTGCAGATTATAGGATCACGGAATTTTATTCGACGGCTCCTCCGTTCAAAATATCCTATTGAATACGGCGTTTGGGAATGGTTCGATGGGCTCAGGGGGCTCCATTGAGTAAGTCCTGTGATCGTAGTCCGGTTTCGCTGCTGCCACCGAATTCGAGTCTTTCGCTGGGCAAGGAACTTTCACCCCAAGAGCTCCTCCCGCGGCGACAGCCGACTGGCCGGAGATCTCCGTCTGGTGGAAGCGTGGAGCATTTGAATCGGCGGAGAATCCTCCAATCGATTGACCCGCCCTTGCTGTCTGCGACGTTTCACCGAGACGCGGCGCGAGTGCCTGGACCCCGAGATTTGCGGAGGCTCCGGCGATCTTCGGCAGGTTAATATACCCTATATTGTAATCCTCGGCCCACGGACCTGCTGCCTTCGCGTACCCAACTTGGTAGACTTGTCCATTCTGAGGGACACTCGCGGAATAGTACAGAGCTTCGCCGGGATTGGTTTCCGATGTTTCAGCCTTGTAGTCTCCTTGCAATGCCTGACGTTGCTGAAGACCTCCGCTTGGAGCGGTACCGGCGAGACTTCCCGATACTCCGATTGACCCTCGCCCCCCAGCGGAGCCGCCTTGGCTTTGGGATGAGTGGTCGACTCCGGAAGCCTGCGGAGCCACTGCTGCTTCTGCTGGATCGGTAATAATCGGGCTTGAATTTGCCGAGTTTCGAGAACTCGGGTTGGCGCCTCGATACTGCGGGCTCATGCCTTGATACAGCAGGCTCGCGCCTAGATACTGCGGGGCTGAGTCCTGACGCTGCGAGCTCGCGGCTTGATTCTGTGAGTTTGAGCCGTGGTCCGATAGGCTCGCACTGTGGAGCCCCGAAGCCGCTACTTGAAACCCCAGGCTCGTGTCTTGATTCCCCGCACCGGCGATCTGGCCACCGCTACTCGATGCTGGGACTGCTCCTGAGGGCACGTTCTGGGCTCCCTGATCCGACGCGGAGTTGTCAAGGACTGGCCATTGGTTCTCGGAATTCAGGTCCGATGCTTGACCTGACTGATTTTGCGCGGCTGCGGTCCCGGCCGGGGGAACGACCGGAGGCCCTTCAGGGGGCACAATCGGGGGCGCGGCCAGAGGAGCCGGGGTGGGTAAGTTCTTTATGCGGTCGGACACAAGTTCAGAAATGAGGTTCGAAAACTCGAAGGGATCCATGAGTTTGTGGTCTAGTAGGCTCTTGCTTTGTCCCGGTAGGAGTTGCTGAGTGCTGGTGGAGTTTGTCTGGTTCGTTCCGCTAGAATGATCATCGGCTTCTTTCTTGCTCATCTTAGCTTTCATTATTTCCGGTAGAATACCCGCGAGTGGTGAGCCTTCCGAAAGATCCAAGGGCTGGGAATCGTTAGTGAGAGGCACATCTGAATGCATATTCGAGTAAGTGGTAGCAGATATCGCTTGCATTAAAAGTTTTTCTTGGTTGAGAGGATGGAAATCCGAGCTCGAGTTCTGAGGAACAGGTGTGTTCGAATATGTGAGAGGGCCGCCGCTGTCTTTATTTGCTACACTTCTCCTCGGGAATATGTGACTGAATGACGACGGATGCACCGACTCTATGACGATCTTAGTGTTCCTCGGTGAGGGAGCATACGTGCCCGAGAACTCCCGCGGAACTCCCGACGACCTCCGATATGCATCTCTCAAGGCGGTGTAGCTCTGCAGCGTCAGGGTCAAGTTGTAGATCAAGGCATCCAGAGGATCCATTGGAAGGTCGACGTCAACGTGAACCGGAGACGCTTTCTTCGAATCCCTCGAGGCGTAAGAGGTGGGGATATTCGAGAAAAATAGGGGTCCGGGGAGCTTGTCTTGGCCCTCGTTCCCTTCTCTCGATGCTTCAGCGGACGACGAGGGAGATGCTTCAGTGGAACTTGTAGAGGAAACTCCTGACGAGACATCTGTCAAATTCAAGCCTCCCGACAGCGGTGCCCGCGATGACGAGTCCAGACGGTTATCGAAGAAAACAGCGCTGCCATTGAGACTAGGGTTCACGTTCATTGGGTCGCTCATAGAAACATTCCCTTCCGTCCTCGGGGCGGCATAGAGTGAATCAGAAGATAGAGCAGGTTGGGTCAATACTGTCGTCGGAAGTGGCGCGGCAACGCTAGCCGTCATCCCACTCGACGACGTCGTTGTCCAGTTCGCAGAGCCCACGTCGGACTCCTCAGTTGTAGAAATCTCGTTCGAAGATGTTTTCGATCCTCCGCCCGTTTTCGAGTCAGGGATTGGGGCCTCCTTGCTCGTGCTCGCTGCGGAGGTCAACGATTCGGTCGTCGGAAAGCCCGCGGGCGCGGTAGATGTCGGAGTTGGAGTCGGTGTCGGTGTGTAAGCGACCGGTTTCGTGATCGGGATCAAACTTGCGTTGTAGGCCTCACTCGTCGTTACGCCCCCGCCTTTCCGAATCTCTTCATCTGATAACGACACCGCACAGTCCCATATGACGAAACAGAGTCCTAACACAAAAATTAATTCAATTAGCCGGCTCATCTCGACCGAGAACGGAACTGAATGTCTTTGTGCGAGTGATCATGAGCTTTAGCCCTTTACTGTCCGTGATCGAAAAGCTATAAATTTGTCATTCTAATTCGGTCTCGAGGATCCGCTTGTCTGTTCGATGAGATGTCTTTCAGCAATTATTCCTACAAAACTTGTTCCTTAACGTCGGGAGTCGGAAGCTCTATCACTGGAGGGGACCCTTGCCACTGCGGAACCTACATATCCGGCGATGCAGATCGTGCGATACGCTCCAAATGATGCTGCTGCATCCTTCGCCTCCGTGGAGCTGGCGGATCCCCCGTCGCGCACGTGTTCTCGAGCTTCGTGTGTTGCGGGAGGCAGTGGACAATCCCGGTCAGAAGTGCTTGTAGGTACGCACGTCGGGGTCCTGAGCTCGTGCCATCCCTTAGGTATCGTTTTTGAGTGGGGAAGAATGAGATGGCGTATATCCTCTCTCAGAACAGCAAGTTGTTGCTACCTCGTCGAGAAACCCTCCGAGGTTCCAGGCCGCGGGCGACGATATCGACAGTTCGCAAATCGCATCGGGCGTCGGAATACTCCACGGAACTCAAGTCTCGACTCTTCCACGCCCCCAGCAGACGAGGCCCGCTAGTAAGTTCTTTCCTCGCCCCTTATTTTCACAATTGCAACGATATCTCACAGACCTCTCAATCCGGGAGGCGCCCCCGCTACCGAAACACCGTCTCACCCAGTCCTGTTTTCCTCCTAGAAATTCACACGGGTCGCTCTCCTCACGAGAGACGCGTAGCATTGCGCGGATCGTCGCGAGCTGCGATCAGACGCTCCAAGGGTAAACTCCGTGATCGACCCTCCGTGATTGACATCCAAATGAAGGATCGGCTGTCGAGTGATCGATCAGCCCACATCCCCCTTTCGGGCTCGATGGGTTGGATGAATGGCGATTGTTTGAATTCCCAACTCCCCTCGGACGAAGCTCATCGCCGTATTCATAAGAAAGTCGTCCGAATATTCATGAGCTGATCATCAGCGATCGACGGCTGATAACTCAAACTGATTGATTGATAGAAAGGGGAAAGAATCTTTGCGGTTGAGGGATAAGGTCGTAGAGTTCTTCCCTCGGAAGACTAACCTCCACCAGGGTAAAGACCTTGGCCCGCTTTTCTCCGCAGTGCTCTTTGGCGATGTCTTGCTCCGATTCGGAAACAGACGCGAGCAGGACACACCGCTTTTCTTCGACGACGAAGTGTCGCCCTCAGACCCAAGGGCTTGGGATTGAGACCATTCGGCTCGCTGGGCGAGCAATCGGAGCAACATCATGTTTGTACTATTTACTCATATGCATGGGCGACCTTGATACAGGGCCGAGTTTCCTCAGCGCTTTCCCGGGTTTCTTATCCCCATCTTTCGAGGGTCCTCAGTTCATTGATCTGCTCCCGGTCTCAAGCTCTTCGACCAAAAAATGATATTTACTCAGTCAGCACAATGCCTCCAATGAAGGAAGGTTTAAGCTCATTTTCTCCACGAAGAATGGAGAAGAAAGATTCGCGCCCCTGCTTCGCTCACAAAATACTACCAGTCGAACTCAAATTAAGGCTTTCGAACCTTTCGGTGTTCATTCGGATATCCGTCTGATGAGGGGAACCAGAGATATAGATACTGCAAATCGGTAGATTCTCACCCCGAAGAGCTTTCCCCGCGGGATTCCTCTATCTCAGGACAGCACGCTGTGTGAGAATCCATCTGGTCGCATGTGGACCATTTGCAGGGAATCGCCGGGCTTACGGAGTTGCTGAGTTTCTCATTCTGGCCCGAGTCCTAACAGTTCGTCAGCGCTAATCTTCTTGATGCAAGCTATCATGATGCCGATCTAAATATATTTGCCGAATCGTTTCCGGCAAATGCCTCCAGCTCCATCCCAAATATTGAGAGACGTACAGCTGGAAAATTTATCTCCCGTTTCCAAATCAAAGAGACCATGCGGGACCAAACGGAACCCTAGAACTTCCCATTCGAAGCAACCAGAGCTATTGAGGACTGTATGCATCTCTTCAAATCGGAATTCACGGACGCTCCAAATCCTTCCTTGACCCGAAAACTCTGGTGAATCCGATATTTATAGGGATTACAAAATGACGAAATGGAACATCGAGGTCCCCCGCGGAAATCGGCCGTCTCCATTCTCCATGCTCACATAATGCTTATGATACGGTAAGGCGCCGAATCTATGATGAGCAACCTCAGCAGGATGAAGGTCTTGCCTGAAAACTGGCTTCCACCATAGAGAGGGTTACCGCTGAGTAGAATATTGGAGTGCAGTGCTCATGGACTGTGAACATCGACATCCGCCAATCCGAAAAAAATGGATTTCAACTTCATTATTCTTATGATGATATGCCGGAACAGCAATCAGAAGGAGCTAAGATTTCAGTACCTAATTGTTGTCTTGATACTGTGCATCAATGACGAACCCGTGACTCCCAGGATATTCCTCTTCCTGAAGTCGTTACCGGCTCTCCCAAGTTCTCAGCGAGCCTCCGGCTTCTCATGCGGAGACCAGTGCACCCTGAACCCTGACTCTGAGCTCCGTCTGCAGTTCCCACTCGGAGAATGAATGGGGAGCCTCATCCCAATATTCTTCTTCGTGGTCTCGTGCATCATGAATGTTTCCTCGGCAGGTTTGCTCTACACAGGAATTCTGAAGGTACCGAGCATCAACACGACCTGTTGCCTGAGGGGATATCGAGCTGCCGCGCTGGAGAGCACTGTGGAGATCAGAACGGTGGGTAACTTAGAACCCTGTGTATAAATATGACTCAATAGCTCTATAGCGTTTCAAGCGACGCTCGATGTTCCAGGTTGGGCTTTGGGATGATTTCCGCGTATCCCTCGGAGGAGCAGAGGAGCCTAATAGGAACAGCTCAATCATTCTCCTAGTTCATGTTGATGTGGACTTCCTTCTCTCCGCGGCGTACATCCATCGTACTCTGATGCCTAAATCAGGTGGAGCGGTGGTCTGGCTCCCCTCGATTTCATCGAGCGCGAAAGACTTTTCTTTCACGAAATATTACTACGTAAGTCACGTACGTTTTGGACGCTTCTGTATTGAATTGCGTTCTCCCCAAATCTGTCAGCGGTAAACCCAGATGACAGAGATCGCTCGATTCGAAGATGTTGGCTGAGATAGTGGAAGGAAGCTTCAATGCCTCCGTAGGCCAGCGACTTCCAGGACAAGTCCTGCCGAATTCCTCGACGCTCTCACATATTACTGAAATTGTCTCTGTGATGCAAGCAGTAGCTGTCTTCGGAACCGGCATCTACCTCCGCTATGTCAGGGCGAGAAGTAGGTGTTCAGAGGATTGTATTCGCCGGGGTCTACTGGTCTGGTCGTCGTCGATTCTTGACCAGTTCCAATTCACGCCATCATTTTCCAGGACAAATAGAGAAACACGCGCTGAATCGACAGACCTCACAGGCGAAGGAATTGACTCGGGAAGACCTTCTCCGCAAGCTGGGCGCGTGGACTGGCGTGGGCATATCCTACAATGCCGGAATCGTCTTGCTCGGCCTTCAGGAGGTGGGTTCGATCGAGCACGTGGCGCTGAGCATAACTCTTCACGCTGACGATTCGATTCAAGCCTAAAGCCTGATATCTGTTATATAGATCTGTATCATGTTGATGACCGTTTACTACTTCCATTGGATTTCTCACCTACTGAAGTTGGCTTTCATTGTTGCCTTCATCACGTCCGCCGACATTCTATTCGACGATGTAGCAGAGGAAGGTCTGTGGATGCCATATCAGGGTCGTCATGTCTCTCTCTTGATCGCGCTATAGCTTAAGAATCTCTTCTCTGACCAGGAGGAGGAAGTTTCGAACTACCGAAGTTAGGCTCCCTGAACTATCGTCGAACGACATTTCGCCTGATCTGTGTCATCATGGCGATAACATGGTTCCTGAGCCGCAAAAACCCGATGATCTGGATACTCCACGTGAGAGTCGTTACGCCCAGTGAAAGATTACATCGTCCTTCGTTCGAGTCGTTGGGCGTGAGGAGCTCTTATATGTACTACATCATCTCCTTTCAGAATATAATGGCGTCTATCATGTGTGTGGCTCTGATAGCGGATATCAGCTTACCGTCAATGGTGGTTATCTGCTTGATGGCCGTCCTGTTGGCTGTCTACGACTTATTCATGGTATTCATAACCCCGAGGTTCACGGCAGATGGAGTAAGCGTTATGGAATCCGCTGTTTTAGGGGCTGACGGTGAAGTCATGCCCATGGTGATGTATACACCGAAATTCCCGTCATTGACGATGTTAGTAGCGGAGTTATTTTCATCACTGTCGTAGTGGGCCCTTCTGGATGGGAACTAACTGATCGTGGAATCCTCACTGATTACTAGGTATCCTCGGTGCGCTTCTCTCCGGAGCGGATTCCTCGGACTGGGAGACATCATCATTCCTGGCATCGTCGGCTCTTACTGCGCCAACTTCGATTCCATGCGGATGCAGGGCTCTTGCATGAAAACTAGTCATCTTGCTCTTCTGGCCTATACCTTAGGCTTGATGACGACGTACGTCGCTCGCGAGCTGATGGAATCTGCTCAACCGGCTCTCATCTACATAACTCCCATGATGCTCTTCATACTGCTGCCGGCGGCCGCGATGCTTGGAATTTGGTCGAGTAAGTATTCCTATAGCGAGTGAATTATCATTCTTGGAGCTCTGCACTTTCTTTTCGAACCTCGTGTCTTCTCCCCTCATAAGGGAGTTTTCGCGTTAATTAATGAATCTCGAAACAGACTTCTGGAATGGCCGTCTATCTGGAGAACCGAATGTTGCCGCGAAAAAGCGAGGATGATTCTACAAGCGTGGAGCGGGAGACCAGCGGAAAATTCCGGTAAGACGTGGACGCTGCTGTGCCCATCCTGTGCAACAAAACATCGGTAATGAGGTGAAATCATTGCTTGGAACCGCTTTCGCCAGCTCTCCACCGGTCCCTCTCTGGCTGTAACTGGATCATGCCGTGCCTAATGCCGGAGTATGAGGGAACTTCGTTTTCAAGAATATCGTGTCCTAAACGTATGCCATGCCCGTTCCGCTTGGTCCTAATACTAACTGAGTAGGTATGACGAGAAGAAATAATGATTACCGTTATTCAATAAGAAATTCCTTCAATTTATTGGTGCTTCCGCATCGGCAATGCAAGGCTTCCAATTTCTATGTCCCCCTCCAGCAGGGTATTACTCCATCGCACCTGCGACATATTTCAGTCGGAACCCGATGAGGCTCAGCTTGCCCCAATCGGCTCCACGTACAGGGAACCACCAAAGGGATTATCCATTCCCCGACGATATTTGCTTTTCATTCGGACTATTGTTTCACCAGAATGCTTTCCTCATCTCGTTATCAGAATCCTCAGTCGGGTCACAGCAAATCATGTCAGATCCACACCGTGTGGTTTTTAGAATCAGTCTCGACGGCCGATAGCATAGACCGGATAAGAACATCGGAGTGCAGAAACCTTGGCAGTCTGGGATTTCCGGCTCAGGGACGACGGTTGTCCTAGAAGAGCGCCGGATACAACAATATTCACCTGTGAACGAGGCAGGGTCTAGTAGATTTTCTGGAACATTCCGCGGCGAGACTCCTCTTGAGAGCATTCCCGGAAGTCTTTGCTGGTTTTTGAGGGCTACAATCTCAACCACGACCGGCTACCGTTCGCGACATTATATAGTGAGAGATAATAATCAAGAGGCAAGCAAGGCACTGACCTTCGGGACATGAGGCTGAGTTGTCGATCTGCTCACAAAAGAGGCTCATCAAACTCCCATGACAGGAGCCCGAGCAGGCAGGTTTGTTGATAGCCGAGGGGGTCGATGATACTTCTCTATCGATTGGAAACACTTCACTCTCCGAAAAACCGATGCTCAAACTGATGATCCAGAGTGAGATGAGGTATCGTGTGTGGGACATTTTAGCATATAGAATTCTCATTCAATGATGATCGAAGCGAGAGAACGAACACACTTTCGATGATCCTGGTCACCGCAGTGACCAGACGACATTCGTCAGTCTAACTCCCCCGAGATCGGCTAGAACCGATCGTTTTTGGGGGTACGCATCCTTCCCGCGTCACAACATCAGTTCCCTCTCTCAGGCGCTGCGCATACCCACAGTGTGAGCTCTCTAGGAGCGACTTCAAGAGTCGCCTCGAGACATATGGACTGAGAACCTTGGAGAGACCGACTCACTAGCTGCATATCTTTGACGACAAATGCGGAGCGGCGCTGACGACGTCAAATGGAGAATTCTTCTATCGGGCGGGGAATGATTCCCGGAAGGGGAGCGAGGAAGGAGTCCAATCGTCCAACATTCCCTCCGGATGCATCATATTCGCGCTGTCGTTGAGGTTGCTCAACTCGATTCTGAGTCCACCGCTCCCTACTCATCCTTCGGCTTCGTTGCCGAACGGGTTTTCCGTTTCCCACGCGTCGCAACTTTAACTTTCGTATCCTCTCGGTCTCCGCGTCCTTTGTCGACTTCCGTTGTCACGTCCATGAAAGTCTTCTCGGAGCCCGGATCTGGAGCATCTCCGCGAGATCCATCCTCGCCTGCCGCCGCCTCATCCCGCACAGGCTCGGTTTGGTCCACAGTAGGCGCAGCTCTCTGCTTTTTCCTGCCTTTCTTCGAATCTTTCGATTTGACTCCTTGAGACCAAGGAGAGTTGTCTGCGCCTCCAGTCGAGCTTCGTCTTTTGGACGCAGACTGTACCGGGGGGGAACCTCCTGAAATGGCGTCCGGAGAAACATTTTCCGTCTGATTCGAGGCTGATGAACTCGCTTCTACGGCCGATGCGTCTTCCGAGGGCAGCGGACGCTCGGACTCGGTCTTCGGGGCATGCGTGACGTCTTTATTCGGTCTCAGGAATTCCAGACGTCCTGTTATTGGTTCGGGGGCCTGATCCTCGGAAGGGCCAAGGGTCGGTTTCTTCCTGAACAGCGCGAGCAAACCAAATCTCGTCGTCTCGAGCGGAATCGTGGCTGGTGTGGGCGTCGTTTTCACCTCGGGCTCTCGCGGCACCTCGGTTGTTTTGAGATTTTCAACGGCTTCGGGGCATGGCGATGCCGTACTGGGCAGGAATGCGACCCATACCGGGAGTGGTCTTGGCTCCCCTCCGTATAGTTTGGCTCTTGAATTTCGGTTTCTCCTCTCCCGTCGGTATCTCCTCCTTTCTTCCACAAGTTTACGCCAAGCAGCTCTTCGGGCCCTCCTGTCTTCTAACACGTATGAATACGAAGATTGGAGCGATGAAGCTTCCCGGATATGGAGCACCGATGTGAGCACTGCTTCAAGAGGGAACCAAAGAGCCTGATAAAAAACACCGTTTACAACGAAAGAAAGAACGATCAATATCAGATGCTTCATTCTGTCACCACACTCCGTTTAACAGTAAAGCATGTTTCAACGGCGCATATTGTTACTAGACATGCGATCCGTGACTCGATAGTGCGAGATGCGATAAATCAATCGCCCATGGGAGAGGTCACCTACTGTGTTACTCAGAACGGGGATGAGAACAGCCGACAGCTTTGTTTCCAAGAGCCCAATGGCAAGGGATGGTCTTAGGACCGCGAACGGTTCGAACTCTATTGTGAAACCTTCGATTGCTGACTCGAGTTCCGTCACGTCGATCGTATCTCAAATCACCCGGTGACCATTCTGGATTGCATGAGGAGACCCTTCAGCTCATGACGGCGAACCGTCTCACGATCCCCGCATACGGATATCGTTCTGACGATATTCAAACGATCCTTCTGGACGATTCATCTCGATGATCGAGTAAAAGACTATGCAAGAGGATCTCCTAGAAAACATTTCCGGTCCGGATACTTCTCTAGGATGTGTGAAGACGATCTTCAGGAGAATCTCCTCGAGAAGCTTTCCACCGAGCGCGCGGAGACCGAGGCACAGCAGTCGATTGATCCGATTTGAGAGCTGGGAAGCGAACCAAGCTTTCTCGGAACTCCGCAAGATCGTTCCATATACTCTCAGTCGTACAATGAATGCTCCCTGAAGATCGGCCGACTCGACGCGCATCCTGCGCATATCATCATGCTGGTCCAATCAGCGGTTCTCTCTCCGCCCGAGCTTGCACGCTCATCAGACGAAATCGGAGGGATGATTCCAACTGGCCCGACGAAGCAGGAAGCGCTAAGCTCCTCCTGATTTGATTGTCGTCGTCGTGTGACGTTCTTGTGAACCTTCGGGGGCATGAGCATATTCAGACAGCGAAGTTAGTGGCGTAACTCAGGGGCTCAAACATGATTAGAGAAAGAAGCTTTGTAGCAGGGATTCGCGCCGTTCCGGTGGGGGGGGGGGGGCGGAAGAGACTCCGGTATAATCAGAGTGCCCGGGAGGAATTCCAGTTCGGGCGTCCTTCTGGAAAAATCCCTGGGAGCCACTCTGCCTGTCTACGCCACTGAGCGGAAAGCTGTGTCATTCTGTACTCGCTTAAGGCATCACTTCCCCATGCGAATACCGTTTGTGAAAGGTGCGTCGGAGAGAACTACGTGCCAGAAACGATTTTATTACGCTCCGATCAGTACAAAAAAGAAACTCTCCACTTGGCCGTCACCGGCTCCGAACAATTTGACCTCACCGCGAGCTGAATCCTATCGCCTGACGTCAGACTTCCGTCGAAGCCTCCAGCAGAATTGATGCGATGTTGGAGGGTGAATCCCGCACCGAGCTCTCACATAATTGCGAATAACCCGCTAAGAAACGCCAAAGCTTATAGTACCTATGCTTCAAAAATGTCGTGAGTCATAACGCGGTATACTTCCAGGGCGATTCTGCTCGCGTGACATCCGCTTGTGGTTCACGATATACATGGCTCCTCGGCCCAGGAATTCTCGCTCTGAGACTCTCATTCCTGGGGAGAATCTAAAAGAACATCAGATACGAGATATGATGGATCGGAGCGAGAGTAGCTTTGCCCGCAGATTTCCAGGATAAATGTATACGAACCTCTCAAGAGCCTCTCGTCGGTCGTTGCCGTTCTCGATCTCACCGCTGCTCTTGCTAGTGAATCCCTGGATTTTCATCGTCTTCCGATACCTCCACTGGCACTGCTCGTTCCGATCGCCGATGTCCTCCCTGGCCATCCACCCATGCTCCCGGCTCCAGTCATTGCACTCGCACCTGACATGGCGCTCGATCCACCCCCATTCATGGAACTCGATCTTCCTCCTGCCATTGAGCTCGATCCTGTTATCGAACTTGATCCACTTCCAAACAGTCCATTGGATCTTGACCCGCTCATCGCCCTCGCTCCGGTCATGGAGTTAGGGCTTCCCCCAGACATTACATTCGATCCTCCTCCGCTCTGAGAGCTCGACATCCCCCCGGCCATAGCGCTCGACAATCCTCCGCCTCTCGCGAAGGATCCCCCGCCGGCCATCGATCCTCCTCCCATTGCACCGGACATTGCTCCGCTCATGGAGCTCGAGCCTCCTCCCATGGCACCGGACATTGCTCCGCTCATGGAGCTCGAGCCTCCTCCCATGGCGCTCGACATTCCGCCCGCCATGGAACTTGAATCTCCTCCCATGGCACTCGACATTCCTCCCGCCATGGAACTTGACCCTCCTCCGCCCATCGAGTTCGACATTCCTCCGGTCATGGAGCTCGATCCTCCTCCGCCCATCGAGTTCGACATTCCTCCGGCCATGGAGCTCGATCCTCCTCCGCCCATCGAGTTCGACATTCCTCCGGCCATGGAGCTCGATCCTCCTCCGCTTCGAGAGCTTGCCATGCCTCCCGCCATGGAGCTCGAACCTGCTCCGCCAGACGAGCTCGACATTCCTCCGGCCATTGAACCCGATCCGCCTCCACCCGAGCTTGACATCCCTCCAGTCATAGCGCTTGATCCTCTTCCGCCTCTTGAGCTGGTCATCCCTCCAGCCATGGAGCTCGTTCCCCCACCGCCTGAAGAGCTCGACATTCCTCCAGCCATGGAGCTCGATCCTCCTCCGCCGCCTAGAGAGCTGGCCATTCCTCCGGTCATGGAGCTGGACCCTCTTTCGCCTCTGACGCCAGTCATACCTCCGGCCATGGAGCTGGACCCTCTTTCGCCTCTGACGCCAGTCATGCCTCGGTCATGGAGCTGGACCCTC